CCTGGACGGTCATTCGGGTAAATTTAACACTGAAACAACATGACAAGCTAAATTGACTTAATGGGGCTATATCTGAAAATGTGCGAGATATCTTTGAATAAATGTCAAGTTGTCTTGAACCTTCGCCGGTCGTTAGATATTCTTATGTCCACATTAGACATTTATCTGTCAAAATGTTAAACCCCGACTAACCCTATGGAACGTTAAATATTCAGTCATTTTTCACTTTACAGGCAAAGGTACAGAATGTTACCACCCTGCAAAACAATACTACCTTACGTTATTTGCCTCGGAACAACAAAACAGTCCTTAACATTTATATTAATGGGAACTTGTTTATAAATAAGGCCAGGTGTCCCGGCAGAGAATCGTCTTCCGCTTCATTGACTACACCGTCCTTGTAGATCTTTATCAATCCAAGTAACTAATGTCACGTTCCCAAGAGAGAACAATGTATGCAACAACTGAAGCAACAGGCAAACTAACGAGCATCAAACAAGTTCAGCTTCAAGTCGCATATTGAATATTTCTCAATGAGATCACTATGACGACTGTTACACTTCTCTAAACCTGCATCACTCGAAACCCTGTGTTGTGAGTTTGTCTTTCAGTTGTCGTGATATTGGAAACAGAAACTTGAAACAGCCACGACATAGATTGTAGGGATATTGCTATGCAGAAAGGAAAACTCACAATTGAGAAAATGAAATTATCACGCTTACCATACAGCTTTGTGGAATGTCGGTTTAGTAGTAGGGAAATTTCGAGTGAATCATGTACAATTTTGAGCATATGCAATGTTCTCGTGTGGTAAGATCCTCTAACTTGGTTACATGGATCAGTTGTTGTTAAGTCGTTCAGGCAATTAGCATTAATTGATTATTATATAGATACACAACTGTGTAAGTAAAACGTAAAACCCTCGAAGTCCAATTTGAGTAAATGGCAAGTCCCTCACATTCCTTTACACGTTATTTAAGGATATGACCCAAGCACGTCAGTTAATGGTATAGCCCTTACAGACCCCCATTTATCAATACATGATACAACCCACACAGTCCTTAACACGTCAGTAAATGATATACAACTCACACAGTCCTTTACACGGCAGTAAATGATACAACCCACACAGTCCTTAACACGTCAGTAAATGATATACAACTCACACAGTCCTTAACACGTCAGTAAGTGATATACAACCCACACAGTCCTTAACACGTCAGTAAATGATATACAACTCACACAGTCCTTAACACGTCAGTAAGTGATATACAACTCACACAGTCCTTAACACGTCAGTAAGTGATACAACTCAAACAGTCCTTAACACGTCAGTAAATGATATACAACTCACACAGTCCTTAACACGTCAGTAAATGATATACAACTCACACAGTCCTTAACACGTCAGTAAATGATATACAACTCACACAGTCCTTAACACGTCAGTAAATGATATACAACTCACACAGTCCTTAACACGTCAGTAAATGATTAACAACTCACACAGTCCTTAACACGTCAGTAAGTGATATACAACTCACACAGTCCTTTACACGTCAGTAAATGATACAGCCCTCAGTCTTTCACGTGTAATACTATTACACACCCTAAAGCCGTGTATATTAAACAGACATATCTGATCTCAACGACTATTATAATTGATCATGTGATGTACTTAACCATAGAGACGCAGAACACTAGTGCTTATATGTTAAATCGTCAGGAAACGGGCCCTTATAACTCCTCTCATCTGACACACGTAGTATATAGGAGAGGTTATATGACAGTTTCCTACAAATAGTAATCACGCAGCGTAGTTACAGCTATATTAGCTATAGATACATGTAAATATGAACAAATGTTTTATCTAAACTTAATTCAACGTTATATAGCATGAAAAAATGGCGGAATATCAATCTAATTCCAATTTGTTAGAAACACAAACCTGGCTGAGTATACAATAAATATCAGACATTAACAATTTGGTTTTTGGACCAATTCGATCAATGATCGGTGCTATTGACTTAAAAATAATACATCCCTGCCTTCTGTTTAAAATGTCAGTAAAACTGAATAACTTTTTTCCAAAACCAAACTCCTGGAATTACTACAAAACCTCTTCAAGCAAATGTGATCCTCTATGCCCTCGAATTTGAGACAGTTTTTCTTTGGTTTTGTTTTGATTTTTTATGGCGGGAACTTTTACCCAACCGTCCTGATTCTATCCGTCAACAGGCAACCGGCAGAATAGTATACATTTTGACTAACGTGACCTCTGTATTAATGGATGTGGTCTCATCTAGAAAGGGAACATTTTAGGCAATTGATGATGGGCTTTTCATCCAATCGGGACCCGACGGCACTTTCTCATACATGCCAATCTTCTGTAATTGTGATCTATTTCACCGACTTAATGAGTTCATCATAAGACAAATTCAGTGATAACTGAAACCGAGTTTTCATACAATTGAATCAGACCCCTGTAAACAGAAACAACGTCCTTGAGTCCTGATGATAAAATAGAGCAATACTTTTCTTCTCCAGTATCCCCCTAGTACTCTGGTTTCCTCCCACAGCAAGACCCTCGCACGCTTCCATCCGGTAGAACAAAATATATTAATGTAAGCTAATCATTTGTTTCGCATTTGTTGTAAAATAAATGAAATTTTATGCCTTTTAAGTCCACTAAGGTGGCATGATAAAGGAATTGCCTATGTAGAGCAAATACATCAGCTATCTGAAGCAACATCAGGGCTCGCTATAAGCACCCACACATCACCTATCTGGAGCAACATCAGGGCTCGCTATAAGCACCCACACATCACCTATCTGGAGCAACTTCAGGGCTCGCTATAAGCACCCACACATCACCTATCTGGAGCAACATCAGGGCTCGCTATAAGCACCCACACATCACCTATCTGGAGCAACATCAGGGCTCGCTATAAGCACCCACACATCACCTATCTGGAGCAACATCAGGGCTCGCTATAAGCACCCACACATCAGCTATCTGGAGCAACTTCAGGGCTCGCTATAAGCACCCACACATCACCTATCTGGAGCAACTTCAGGGCTCGCTTTAAGCACCCACACATCACCTATCTGGAGCAACATCAGGGCTCGCTATAAGCACCCACACATCACCTATCTGGAGCAACTTCAGGGCAGGGCTCGCTATAAGCACCCACACATCAGCTATCTGGAGCAACTTCAGGGCTCGCTATAAGCACCCACACATCAGCTATCTGGAGCAACTTCAGGGCTCGCTATAATCACCCACACATCACCTATCTGGAGCAACTTCTGTGCTCACTATAATCACCCACACATCAGCTATCTGGAGCAACATCAGGGCTCGCTATAATCACCCACACATCAGCTATCCGGAGCAACTTCAGGGCTCGCTATAAGCACACACACGTCAGCTATCTGGAGCAACTTCTGGGCTCGCTATAAGCACACACACATCAGCTATCTGGAGCAACTTCAGGGCTCGCTATAATCACCCACACTCTTAATTCTGAAATTGAGTTAATCCCGGAAACCGTAGAGAAGGAAGCTGGCACTAAAACACGCCTGTACTGTAGACATCAGTTTATATATATATTAGACTGTCCTTATCCACTTGATTGATCTGGTCGTGCAGAAAATCATCCAACCGGGAAATCAAAGTACAAACAAGCAATGGTTAATATTTAACTGTCAAATCAAAGATAGTCGCAGGTCGTCCAGTTTCTTTTTCTGATCAGTCCCAATTCACTGTTTGAATTGCCTACCTTCAGATGACGGCGTGCTAAAAATCCCTAGTAGCTAAACTGAAAGTCTGATCAAAGTTAAGTCCGATGGCACGGAAACACAAAATTCATCAGCTTATACTTAATAATACATTATTAAGTACTGAACTTCATATAGTAAAGCCATCTCAGCAGGGAACATTATAGTATCAACATTGCAATAGTTTTTTAAACAAAACAAAAAAAAGAGAACGTTTCCCACTCCCCAGATCACAGATGGACCTTGATGCCCGCCATCGCCAGCTTTCAGGTCTAAGACCGATTATACTTTTCCACCTTTTGTACATTCTAAGTTGTACGCCGCTCAAAAAAGAGAGCAAAACCTAAAAATTGTCTCGCATTTAGGTCAATGCACAACCACACTGTCACAATGACAACTTAGTCCAGGTTGGCTTACATGTATAGGATGGATGTCTATGCCTTCCGGAGAATTAGCGTCTAGCTGTCTAAATGTACCTACTTAATTCATATATTTTGCTTCAGACATATTTCAGTCAAATATGGTTATAATCTGTTCAAATCCAAGGAAGAGAAGAGAATTTCAAACAAAATGTACAATATCAACCTACTGGACCAGGCCTCGAATTAAACATTTTTTGTCACTTGCTGAAAACAGCAAGTGCCTTAAATTTGTACTTGCTATTATCGCAAATCTCCATGTTCAAATAATGTTTTGTTTTGTGATTTATAATGTATTACCTTGCTTCATCCAATATATATCAACATTATAGCAGAACTGCTTTGTCCCAATATTTACACTTTGAAAATCAAAATAATTCAATTCTGTGAAATGTTAGGAATAGACAGGCACTCACAGTTTGCATCTGATGAATCCACTTGCTGCAAAAAGCAAGTCATTATTTTTTCTACTTGCAATTCTTGGATTTCTACTTGCAAATAGCCAGTAAAAAGCCTTAAATTCGAGGCATGTTTGACCTTTCCTATATGGCCCCAATACCTTAAATTAGACATACACAAAAATATTCTATCCATCACCATGATGTTAAGGGAGGAAGAGAATTATTGAGCAAATTCCCCATATTGAGTTCCATACCTTTCCTCCCAACATCAATCAATGGTTGAAATCGATCCAATGATATGAATTGGTTTATAAACTAAAGAAAAGTTTACAAAAAAAGTAAGGGACAGAACAGATTATCCATGTGCCAGATGACCTGAAGACAATGATGAACAAAATGATTAATGACAAAAAAGCTTTATTGACAAATGAAAAATACAGTTACACTGACACTGACAGATAATTTTCACAATATAATATTCATAATTAATGTGTAGGACTAGTTCAAATAGACACACAGATGCGGATGGTGAGATATATCTAGCACACATCACGTTTACACTAGGAGAAAGGAACCTGCCCATCCACCCGACACAACTATATAGAGTCCAGCTGCTTAACGCCTTCCCCTTCAACCTTATTCCAGTAGCCTTCCCCTTACACCTTGAGAATTCAAGGCAATACATGTGATGTTATAATCTTGCACTGTCGTGAAATCCGACTTCACCACACATATATAACTCTCGCCTGCTTTATAGTAGGAAACACTTCCCATTGGTGTAAGTACTGTCCCAACAGACAGCGCAGACGAAAAATGTGTGGAGATCAATCAATTACTGGAGTAAGGTACATCCTCTACTGCCTCTGTGATACATCTAATTGTTGTCTTCATGAACGACAGGCTTTTGCTATTGGCAATAAATAGTTTCTATGCAGTTTTCTTAAATTCTGTTGACCATTACATTTGTCAAAAGGTCTTTAAATAGTTTTGCTAAATAAAATGTTAACTATTATATTTTACACGAGTAAATTTCACTGTGAATGAGAAAAGACATTACAAGACAGTGTGGTTTTTGTTTTACATGCAAGTAAATATGATTAGCATGTTAAAAGGAAATATATCTGTTGACTCAAAAGTTTTGTACTTTTCATTCTGGAATTTGTCAGAAAAAAAAAAACCAAACAAAACATTTAATATATAAAACAAAATGAGATAAGACTCAAAATTCACATCAACCTAAGCTTTCTATGTATATTGTATAATATGGAATCTCACATGAAATGAATTATCTTGAAGAGATGTGATGTTTGTATATGATGTTTAACTTTTGGTCTAGCAATTTGTTCTGTTAGAAGAAATATTTGGAAATCCTTAGGATGAAAGTATATATCTACATCTACATTTCAACATGCATCAGTTCACACACATCTGTCACAAGAAAAACAAAGAGTTACACTTGCACATGTTGCAAAACAAACATTCAAGGGACTAAGATTGACCGACCTATTAATCTTGAAGACCAAAATCTGGGTTGTAAATAATCATACACAAGCATCAGATTGACCCAAAAAGGGTCAAGGATCAAGATTGCTTTCACTTCACCAGTTAATACACCATAAAATGCAAACATTCACACGACCACTCGCACTCACTCCTATTCCATGCCGAGCTTTACATATATTACTATATTGTATCAGGGCTCTGATACAGTTTAATTACACAGAAGAGATATGCGTTATCTTTCATTCAGTTATTTGCTAAATCCGAAAAGAAAACGCAAATAATAATAATTAAAAAAAAAAAAAAAAAACGCTTGGAAACATTCAAACACTCAGATCTCTGAGTGCAACATGCATATCTATGGAGTACAATTGTATATATCATAACATATCAGAACACATTTTTGTATGTTTTTTTAGCCCCATGAACTTTTGTTGGCATGGCGGGTTGGTGAACATTTACTCAAAATTTCATTCAAATAAAGACCCTAGTTCAGTAAGGTTTCCTGGGAGGAAAAGCTGAACACTAGGTTTTTCCCCCCCTTTCCTCTGAAACAGACAAATACATAATCTGCATACATTGCTGAACAAGGCTCCAAACAGTCTTAAATATAACTTATCTTCTAATAATGCAAATTTTGTTAAAATTGAAGTGCAAATAAATTCTAGAAGGACCTACAAACATTTACAAACAGTAAGCAAGGCCACAGGACTTTCACTTTAGGTCCAAAAAATGATATCTTACAGATCTTAAAATTCAAATCTGAAGACTGTATGGGAATTTATTCCTTTTTTTTCTCTCTTTTGTGACAAATGTTCTCACATTCCAAATCTTTTGAATCCTGCTGTTTGATTTCAAACTGACAGCACTTCATTGTAAAAGGCAGATTAATTATTTTATAGCAGCTTTGAATGTCACTGCAATATATACATCATCGTGTAGACCATGTCAAAGCTGAGAAGTGAAAACATCAAGTTTTATACAAAACGGGGAAGGGAAAGGAAATTTAGAAAAGAAACAATGACTGGCATGATAAATGCCACTTTATGTTAATCTTTTCAATTTTCATTGCACTAAAACCTTCGAAATAGAAGACAATACTAGTTTATAATGAAATACATTTGTATCTACATATACATAAATATCATGCATCAGTTGAGTTCATCACACATACATAAGGCCCACCCTACCCATATCACTTCCAAGTATTAAACATCCATGTAAGCTACTATTCAAATTATTTTCAGGGAAAATAAAAAAAAAAAAGATATTAGGCTACATTTGATTTCTGTATGACTTCTAAAAACTTAAACAAAATTTGTCTTTCTTTCCATATAATTTGGATGAAAAATATTTTGAATATATATGAGAAGTTTCTCAAGATTTCCAAACATTTAAAGCAGTCAATCATTTCTATGCAGACTGTAATCCATGAGCACTTGCATGATTGAACATGAAATAGTTAAAACAAAATCACAATCATAATCCACATGTGTCATTAGCTGTTCCTCACTCGCAGTCACCTAAGCTTTAAAACCGTGTAAGACTTGAGTAAGGTCAGGTTCGGAGGGACAGAGTGACCCTCCATCGTGGCTGACCTGTTATACGGGGGGTAGAGATTTTGTGGGCCCATTTTAAATGAAATGGTCCCCCTGCTGTAACACACACAGACAAGGAATATATTGTAATAATTATTTATACACAAGATCTTTCTTCCAAGAAAGCCTATATATGTCATGTGCTGTGATATATTCTGATGTACAAGTTTGCTCTGCCTAGTTTTTAAGGTACCAGTCTTTTTTTTTCCATTTCTTTGATTTGACATCTGTTTTTGGTACCAAATGCTAGGCTTATGTTGCCGGGATGAGTAGCCCATTAATAAATGCACATATACCTCCTAACGGCACCACTCTTGCACTTAGTGCCCAGCAGGCTCATCACACCAAGTGTCAACTGCTCATGACTTTCCTCCAGTTGATACATCCCTTAAAAAATCCATTATGTCCTGTGAAAAGTTTAGTTCACTTTCACTTTTTTTTCAAATCTTCAAAAAAAAAAAAAAAATTATAACCACAAGTTTATTCTCGCAGCTGTTAAAACAATAGTTTCCATAATGCGCGTGAATACATTGTTACCTTCCCCCATATAACACGGGCACATGAGTTTTAAGATATAAATAATAAGTCTTGTATATTTCCCCTCAGATGGGCTAGCTAATACTTGGCTCAATTCCAGATCTTAAGAAAACTGTCCCAGGATCCTGTGGCAACAGCCATTCCATCTTCTGTGACACCCAAACAGCTCACACGGTTGTCATGACCGGCTAGCACTCCTGACACAAACAAAAGTACAGGTTGAATAAAATTTTCATTACCAAAGCTCAAGTTTACAAAAGTGCATAATGCTTAAATCTATATTCTAAAATTTACAAGGAGCTGGTCATGAAATTGAAAACATCCTACATTGAAATTATTTAGTCTAATTTCTTTTTGTGAAAATAAAGTAATTAAATCTTTTCTTCCGAGGAACATTAGCATTTAGTTGTCATAAGTCAATCATGTAGCAGTTTTTCTGTTTCTGCGGAGTTTGTTCTATTGGGTGAGCTAATGAACAGAAATATAGAACCAAAGATTTTCAGGAGACTGCCAATTCCCTTGATTTTCGAAATATACATTAAGTGATAGCTTGCTTCCCGAGCAGAAGCCAAAATTCTGATATTGGCCCAAAAGGAATACTTCAGGAAACAATGAAGGAAAAATAAAAAAGATCTCTGATTAAATTTACAATTGTATATGAATATCTATACAAAATTTTCACTATATTGCCTTAGTACTTTTCAACTAGGAAGATTTACTAATCCATCAAGATTTCTTTGATGTCATGGCACATATCCATGGCTACATCTTTTGAGAAGTCTTCCCTTGGGATAGATATTCATCTCTATTACACAGTTGGAATAAAAACAGAAGAGATCTAGAAGAACTCACCAGCCCTATCTTGCTTTAAGACATCCCAAACATTGCAGTTGAAATCATCATAACCACCGAGGAGGAGACGACCTGACTTGGAGAAGGCCACAGACGTAATACCACAGATGATATTATCGTGCGAGTACATGCCAATTTCCTGATCAGCACGGATATCAAAAAGCCTGCAGGTGGCATCATCAGAACCAGTTGCAAATGCGTAACCATTCGGAAAATACTGGAAAACAAAACAGACACAAGATTACAAAGTGCTAAGAAACATAAATCGAAGCCAGCGTATGAAGATGAATTGTTTTCATTGATGTGTCTGGGGCAAATTCTGATAAAAATGGCTATTTTTACCATTGTTGAAATCAACCTGATTTGTCTTCCTTAAAATTGCTTTGAAATACTCACAAACACAAACTGACAAAAGCGCTAAACTTCAATTGTCCTTTACAAAACTGCTATAGGGTATTTAAAATCTGCAACCTATTGTGACATCATAACTGAACTTATCAAATAAATACATCACAATGAAGACAACAGGAATAAAACAAGACAAAATCTACAAGGACTAAGCATATTTTCTAAAATAGTTTTATTTCTAACCATTAAACACCAAACAATGTGATTTTCTTTCCATTTCAGGAGACTTATGAAATGAAAAATTTGCATTTAGTTTGCATGAGACTCGTTAAAGGCATAATTACAATATATCTTTAACATAAAACGACCAAATGGATGTAGTTGACTTGTAGTATACTTACAGTGATTGCATTTATGTCAGATTCATGGCCTGAAAATGTTTGTTTGCACATCCCATCTCTGACATCCCATAACTGAAGAAAAGAAATGTGCCTATGAATTGAGCATTTTATCATCAAAACTGATGTAATTATTTTCGTAATAATCACTACTCTTTGCAACCCTTTAATCAACATATTAAACAAAATCATACAGAATTTTCTGAACTACCTTTTCAAAGTACAATGAAATGTTCAATTATTCTCTCTGATCACAAGTATTTTTTTTTCTCTCTTTTTTTTTCACTTCAATTCTGAGAACTTTAATTTATTTATATTAAAACTGTCAACCATGGACACACAGAGATATTGTTTCACAAGTTTCTATGACAAATTCATAAATATTTAAGACCAGTAAAAACTATAAGACTAAGCTTAAATGAATATCTCTTTGATGATTTGAGTTATTCTTCAGCACGACAGATCAAACAAAGTTTGCTTATAGTAATATTACCTTTGCTGAGGCATCGCAAGCCCCTGAGACAAATGACTTCATATCTGGTGCCAAAGAGAGGCTCATGACATCACCAGTGTGACCGGTAAAAGCTGTTGTCTGCTGACCTGTTTCTATATCCCATAATGCACTATAAAATGAAATCATTTTTTTGTTAATTCAAATAAATGTAATCACTTTTTTGTTAATTCAAATAAATGTAATTGCTTCAGATCAATTTATTTGCATAAATTCTATTTTTATGTTTTGATCAATATTCAGCATTAAAAAACAAATAGCTCACATTTTCATTCTTTTTTTTAAAAAATACTTCCTGCAAAACCCAGGTAAACATAAATCTTTGATCAACTGTAACATTGCAATCAAATTAAACCAATGCATGATCAAACTCTGTGTGATAAAAACCTTTGATATTTGAATTCTTGGTGTTTTGAGAAAAAGCAGACAAAAATCTATTGATATATCCATAATCTTTGCACCTTCATTTTATACGACCATGACTTTTTTCCTGTGTATACTCTCTTCTGAATAAAGACAAGTTATTTCAAATCCCAATGCCTTATATCTTACGTCAACAAGGATGAAAACTTATCAAAAGGGAATTTAAAATGCAGACATCTTGAAACATCAACAATCCATGGTCACTTGCTGGTACTTACCATGACATGTCCCCAGAGCTTGTTACTATTTGGTTGTCATCAAGGAAACGGCAACAAGACAGATAACCGGTGTGTCCAGGCAGCTCCCGACTAACCCGAACATTTCCTTCTCGTGTTTTTAAACTATAGATAGAACAGATGTTGTCCAGCCCTCCACATGCTACATAGCTACATGATGGAGCATAGGCACATGTCATTACCCAGCTAGATCTTAAAGGTATCGCATGTACCTGAAACAAACAACATCCAATAAAATTACTGAAATGTATATCTTAAATTCAATATTATCCAATACTAATCAAGTATCTGTGATGGTAACTATTCGCATGTTATTAACGGCTGCTTTTACTTTTTTCATAAGATTAGGATTTCACTTCTTTGCATCCATATTTACAACAAAAGACTCAATAATTCAAGATCAAGTTTACTTCTAACAATAACTCACCATTATATTCAGGTTTAAAAAATATCCTGTCTTGCAATTTTTTTTTTTTTTTTTTTGCTTCTTTTTTGGGGGAACAAAAAAAGTGGACATTCTCAAGCCTTCAATTATATCTTATATCTTACCTTATTTGTAGTATATCCATCCCATACAATTAATTTACCGTCTTGTGACGCAGATACTAGATTTCTGCAAAGAGAAATTTCATAGTTTAAGATACTAAATTTCTGTAAAGTAACCGTGTTCACAGTTTAACACCGATGGAATATCTTCCATAGAGAAAACATTCAACTTGTCAAAGTCCAAATACTTTTTCATGTCAATAATTCTTAAATAAAGTAATACTGTCTTCAAAAAATATCCTGTATATTCTTTCCTAACAAAACTTGCAAAAACATTGCTGAATCCATATCATCAGTCTAATCCTTCTAAATGGTTAATGTACATATATAAATATATTCAGTCGCACATTATCATGTCTCCATTGTCAGCTGAAATTAACTAAATATTTTTAAAATCTATTTTGTCTTGACAAATTTAATTCTTTTGTACAAAAATTAAGATTATTTTCCAACAATACTTTTGTCCCTAGAAAAATATACATACGCAGAATCTGTAGCCCAGTGCATGGCATATATTTTGGCCAAGTGACCTCTAAGAGTACGCCTGGTGCGCATCTGTATTCGTCCAACAGGTTCAACGCCATAGGCAGCTTGGCTGAGAGTCGTATCAGCAGCAGCTTTCCTTGCCTCCTGTAAGCAACAAGAAAAGAATTCAGGTTTTTTTTCTTGAAAGAAAACTCAAAGGTCAGGAAAACAACAGTATACAACAACGGAAGGAAAACAGCTTTTTCTGGTCAATGTCTGATGCTGGCAGAAATGTAATTGCCATTTAGTCCAAGAAAAGCAGTTTTTTGAAGGATGTCCCTAACAATCCCATGATGTATGAAGTTTCAGGTAAAACTGAAAATCTGCAAATATAGAAAGGGAGGTGGGGACACTGCCTAAGAGCTATCCATGCTTTCAAATTAATTTCAAGGATCCATTAAGCTCCAATTAATTCTTTATTTATTCTTTATCACAAGTAAATCTTGACATTAACATGCACTTTTATCAGAATTCAAAGATACATCAAATAGTCTACCTATTCACAAAAGCAGTGCTTGAGTCCTGATTCAGTAGTGAAGGGCAGCAGTGTAAGTAGACAATAACCTGATCTCTCTATCAGAAACAATAATCAATAGTTCTATGTAATTCTATCTGATGTGAAACCCTTAGGATTAGTGCAAGGATATCAATATCAGGACACAGGAGGAGTTCTATGAAGAATGTGATCAGAACCTCTGGTAGGTGGGATTATATGTAACCTTAATCATCAACATCAAGTTTGTAATTAACAATTTTATTATGTCTAGAATATTAGTCTAAACCTTCTTGAACATAGATCTAGACTACCACAGTGATGTCTAGCTTGACAAAATTGATTTTTCATTAATCTTGCTGACATTGACAATGACAAATAATTGCTAGCTTATTAACCGAATATCTGTTCTAGACTCAAATTTGATAGGGAAACATCATCAGCTTTTAAACATATGAAATATGTTTCACAGAACTAGACACAAATGTTGGCAATCTGAATGAAAGATATAAAGCTTTGCTGCAAGATTTTATATCCTTGGCTTTTTAAGCGGAGTGCTTTCCTACTTCTTAGGTCATGTTAGGTATAAGCCGAAACCTAATTGGGTGCAAGAAATACAGCTAAAAATAAAATTCACTATCACTATCCAGCATTGAGAAAATGAGCATCAATGGAGTTGCTTTAAATGTTCCAAGTCTTAATGCCTTAGGAATCAATGCTTTGATTTTTTCAGTCCTGTGATCATGTGTACCAGGACAAAGGACTGCTTCTTCATGATTGTCTTGCTACTGAAAGTTAACATGATTGATTTGTACAAGTAAACAGCCAAATGTAGGCGGATCATCACCACATAATCTATCCCTGTGTATCATACAGTAGGATTTCTATTGTTACCAAATACCACTATTATAGCAGATGTACTCAATCAATACTATTATCAATTTAATCAAAATGACTTTATAATGAAAATATTTTACACATGTAAGTATGTTTTGAGTAATAATTAAGCATAATATGGTTGTAATGGGTGGGACTGTATACTACTAGCCACAAAAGGCATTTGCTACTACTCTGAGCTGGGAGAGCCAGCCTAAATCTTCTACTAAGGGTCTTTTATTGATCTCCTTGAACAGCTTGGCTACCAGCCAGCTCCTGGCACACACATACAACAGAACCACCACTACTGGTGTTGACCAAACCCAGTGTCTGGATCTATATGTATAGAGAGTGGCAGGTTAAACACTGGTCATGAGACACTGTGATATTGTTACATCTATTACTAGAATGGTTTCATCTTCCTGGTCTAGCTCACTTCTAGATGCTTGGATTGAATTATTTCATACAATGTTAAGAGACTACTGTAATTGTGGTGAATTCTTATAAAACATTCATTCACACATTATCTGATTGGCCAGAACTAACATTTGCAAAATTCTTCAACATAACTCAGAAAACTGACAAAAATTCTCATCTATATTTCAAAAGCAATGTGTATGCTAGAGTAGGATTTATACAATAGAAAGCTTTCTGACTTATCAACATACAAGTGAAGAAAACTTTTTCAGTGCATTTCAAAGTACCTGGTATCCATAAGCAGTACAAACACGAGTAAAACATTCAGTGAATGTATATTGTCACAATAACACCAGCCAGTCAATACCAAAAAAATTGACATGCAGATGACTTTACTGAAAATCTGGGAAAAACCCAGTCATTCTGGAATCACTTTCAACCTAGATTTCTGGGCTTCTATCTACGTTTTTGCTGAAATAATACTTGAAATCCTCAGGATGTGCTACATTGAGAAGAAGGAGAAGAAGTCGAAAAAAATGAAATTCCCCTTTACATTTAAAACCCAGAATTATAACTGGTCCTTTTCTGTCATAAGCCTGCAACCAGTTGTGTATTTCTATTAGCCTTAATTATTAACTTAATCACAACCAATACTTGCCAAGGAAAATGCCAAACAGGTTGAAGGAGACAATAATCTATTAATTCAAAACAGCAATGTTTATTTATGAGAACAATACACAAACATCTATTTTGAAACTTGTAACAAGAGTCCTTACACCCATTTGCCTATAGGCTTTCAAAACTCTATGCATATTACTTCAAAAATAAACAGAGCATCAGATCATGTCAAATGTTTAGCAAAGCTTAAATAGGGATTCATAATATACTAATATGCAAAGGTCTTAGGCTTTTTTTCCTATTACGTGTTAAACCCATATGAAAATTGTATACAATTTACATAGGTATGCAAATTACGCTAGCTTTATGGTTTAATATCACAAAAGATCCTATCATCATTTTTTAACATGTTGATGTTTGTCTCTACTGGCAGGTTTATTTTCTATACATGAGAACCAATAGGCCTGAATACCTAACTTGTTCTGCAGCTTACACACTGTCAGTTTGTCAGGTCAATTTCTACAATCTTGAAAGCCTATTCCTCAAGCATGCTACCACGCAACTACTATGACTAGGACCTATTGATTGTTGATGCATGATTTTTTTTTTTTTTAAAGTTTTTCTAACATTGGACCCCTGACCTTGAAAGTGAGTGAAGGTCATTCAAGTATAAAAAATTTGAAGCCCTACATCCCAGATTTCACAGACCCAATATCAGTACTCTGCCTTTCACTTTGGAGTATAAGCTCACTTGCTTTATTGGGGCACAGGTGACCTCAAAATTCCAATATGGCCATGCATAATACAAAACTTGACATGTGCTGCCATTTTATTTCTCATTCTTTTTGGGTTATTTTGAAAAATATAAATGAGAAATAAAGAATATAGTTGATAAGTATATTGGAATAAGAAATAAAACTCCATTTCAATTAGTTCTGAATGAGCACTGGAGGTGTGGATACAGGATCTTCATTAAAAACCGCCAGATGTACTTTCATGTCACACCTCAAAGCAGATAAATTTCAGTAATTACTCTTTCATGATTCAATCAATGAAAGTAGAGTATTTATGTTAAGTACAACATCGTGACATGCCCAGGGCATGTATTGATCTATGCCTAGTTATCCTTGTCATGTGCATTTTTAACTGCTACGAAGGAAAAATATGGAATTGGTTATCCTACATTTTTATATTATTGATCTGCTTTATATTTCCACATCTATAAATATGTAATATGCTTGTAATGGAACATAACTATATGAGCCACTTAATTTGACAAACAATCGATACCTTCACTTATTGAGGGTTGCCCTCAACTAAGATCTTTAATATTCAGAATATATCATATAATTATGAGCCATCCCTGAACTTAATTACAGGTGTAAAAGCGTACAGAGGTTCCAAAATTGGTTATATTTTTTAACCAACAATTTTAAAACAAGAGAACCCAAAGCTTCAAAGAGATGTGAAAAAATGGACAGTTTCAACAGCTACCTAGAAGAGACGGATTCGTTTCCAACAAATACCTATAATTAGAACAGGAATTTAAAGTACACCCCTACAATGTAGAAACTTGGTAAGTTACTATCATTTATAAGCTGATCAATCTTCAAACCTATACCCATAAACAATACAGCCAGTGTATCTATGCCTCAATTAGTTGTAATCCACAGGTTGCTGAGGGCCAATATCATTCTGATCACATGGGTGAAGAACACAAGCCCTCCAGACAGCATTACCGACAGAGGCACCCAACTGAAATTGAATTACAGCTATTTCTAGGTACAGCTGGAGAGCATGGCCATAAAGCAGATTAAAAATATGCTGAAGGAGGAGGTAAATCTATAAATAGTGTAACCATAATGGAGAGGTGAATCATCATTGTGTGTGTACACTGATGAGACCAGAACTCCTAACCACACTGAAGTAGCGAGTGAACACATAACCTGTCCTCAGCACACTGCTTCTGATTCACCACTTGAACTTTGTTCTCACCAGCATTTGTAAAAGACTAGCCGCCACATTCGTTACAGACCAGTTGTCAATATCTTTTGGCGTTTCAAACCAATTGCATATTTGAATTTAAGATTTCAATTGGACCTACAGTCCAAACTTGTTGATAGAGGAAGCCGAAAACTAGACAAAAAGCTTTTATACAGCCTATTCAATATACCGATAATTTAGGATTTATCCAAAGTTACATTTCAAGACAAGTATCTTCTTTTCTTGAGGAAGTGATTTTCATATCATCACAAGTTTATCAATGATTACATGACCATTTTTCTATGTCTTTGAATCATGAAAGATACTGTTTTTTCCTATATTGACATTTTTTGTTGTTGTTAATGTCAGTAAACAGAGTAGGGATAAACAATATCAACACTTTTTTTCAACAATCATTGTAGATCAAAGACACCAAAGTTTATCTTTACAAAACGTCTCTTATTTTGAAAACCATGTTTGCAACTAAGAAATGAAATTATTATCTTATAAAATCTACATCAAAATATGTAAACCTCTTATTTCAACTCAAATTTAATCCTTTTTAGAAAATATAAATATAAAATTCAGACTACTTGTGCTTTATGAATCTCTCTTCTCTTTACAATGTTAACAGGCTACTTTAAACTGTGATTTACAAATCTTTAAAACATTCATGATATTAACAAGTTATTTTAGACTACATGTGATTTAAGAATCT